TGTGTGTGTGGTATATGGTGTGTGTGTGGTGTGTGTATGGTGTGGTGTGGTGTGTGTGTGTGGTGTATGGTGTGTGTGATACGTATGGTGTATGGTGTGTGTGGTATTTGTGTGGTATGTGTGGTGTGTGTATGGTGTGGTGGTGTGGTATGTGTGTGCGTGATATGTGTGGTGTGTGGGTGTGTGTGGTGTTTGGGATTAGGGAGAGGAGGAGGGGACAGTGGACCACACCCTCTGACTACTGACTCCAGGCAGCTGCCCAGCTAGTGAAAACACAAACCATTTCTATGAAACATTTATTTCCTTTGAAACCTCCAGAAACATGCCAGAAAATTCTCAAGACAGGGTTTGGGGGAGGGGGAGGGGGAAGAGAAGACAATAGAGAATAAAAAATCCAAATGAAATAAATCAACATATGAAAAAATCTGCTGCTATCTTCAGCCATCAGATAGAACAAGCTCAAATTAAATAGATTTGTTTTGCAAAAATTCTTTAAAAATAACAGAAAACAAAACCAGAAATCATAATTTACCCTTGTCAATGTACATGATTAGGTCCCCAAATGATTAGAATGATCTGAAGACGTGAGGAGACAATTAAAAGAAGGAAGCAAAGGATCAGGTGAGGGTGTGAGGAAAGGGTGGGGCAGGGCTGGAGACGGGAGGGAGAGGGCAGAGAGGACCACGTCACAGTAGGTGGCCAGGCTGAGGGTGGCTGCGGGGCAGGACACCACAGGGCTGACACTTCCTTCTCCAGACTGCGAGAGAGGCATCCAAGGGAGACACAATGGCTGCCCCCTGCCCTCGCCCCACCCCTCCAGCCCGGCACCTCGGGGTGGGGGCGGGGGCCTGCTTCTGGCCTGGTGCAGTCCCCAGAGCCCCCTTCTTTGAGGCGCCGCACCCTGGAGAGAAGGTGGCACACAGCACGGCCTCTGCACAGGGACTGCGCCGCCTGGCGCCGGCCCACAGCCCAGAGTGCGATGCTCTGAGCCAACCCAGGCTGGTGCTTCCCGAAAGGGAAGCCGCCTGCCCGCCCACCGACTGTCCCCCTGAATCCTGCCACCGCCCCCAGCCAGCGGGTGCACGCCTCGGTCCTCAGCTGAGGTTGGGGGAGTCCACAGACTGTGGCCATACAGACTCGTTCTGGCGCAACTCTACATGAAAAAATAAATATATATATATATTTTGTTTGTTTTTAAGGAAGGAAAAAAAGCAACTCTGTTTCCTGGGTGAACAGCATGGTGCGCGCCGGCCCGCTGCCCCTCATTGCCGGTCGAGAGTGGGCGGCTCGCGGGGTCCTGGGGGCACAGTGAGGGTGTCTGGCGGCAGAGACGGCTGGGAGGCTTACAAAGAAAACAAAACCAGGTGAGAGATGAAGGCTGTTTCTCTCCAGCTCTGAACTTGGAGCCCCGAGGAGGAGGCCCGGGCCGTGGCTGCTGGTCAGGGCTGGGCATGGTGTGCAGAGGGGGAGGGGGGAGGGGGAGATGGGAGGAGGGAGAGAGGAGAGGAGGAGGAGGGGAGGAGGGAGCCAGCTGGGAGGCAGGTCAGCAGCGGGGAGCCCAGCGGCGGGAGAGGAGCTGGGAGAAGAGGATTGTAGAACCCGTCCAGTTGTACCGACAGAGCTGCTCTCTCGAAGAAGCCGACTCTGGAGGCTGGGGTTTCCTCTCCATCCTGGGGCCCTCCAGAAAATAATTTAAATTCTAAGAAAGTGCTCCTGGCTGCGCTGCGGGAGGAGGGGTTGGGAAGCCATGCCTCGGTGCTCTTTGGAGCCGGCACACTGTGGAGTGAGGAGTCCTGCCTGTTCCCCCGGGCCCTCACCTCCCTGTTGGGGGGAGGGGCTGCTTCCACGCCGGGTTCTTCCTGGGCCCGCGAGCCCGCACTTGGTTGTCAGGTTGTCCGTGGTGAAGAGATTGCCTCCGGCTCCCCTCCCCGTCCTCCGGGCTTCGGTTTCCAGGCCTAGAAGAGGCCCTCGGGGGCAGTGTGGGCATGGCCTTGCCCTCAGAGGGAGGCGGAGACTGTGTCACCCTCTGGGGCTGCAGGACCCTGAGCAGACCCAGGCTCGCAGCCACGGTGAGGGCTCCTTTGGCTCCCACTGCCAGCCTGGGGTTTCCAAGTCCGTGGGGGAGGTCCAGGTGCCAGGGCCCTGGATGGATTATCTTGGCCAGGCCTGCAGGTGACCTGCCAGGGGCTGGGTGGAGGGCGGGGTGCCGGGGGCCGTGGCCTCTCCCCCTCAGAGCTCCTTCTTCTCCCTGCAGAAGATCTCCGCGAACTTGCGCAGCTGCTCGCTGGCAGCCTGCGACTCCTCCTGCAACCGCTGGTTGTTCTGGCGCAGGCTGGCCACCTCCGACTGCAGCACCACCTTGTCCTGCTTCTCCTGCGTGGGGGGCGGGGGAGGGCTGGTGTCAGGTGCACTGGGCCTGGGTGCTCCCGAGAGCACTCCACAGGGCCTATGGGCCCTGGCTCCTCAGTGAACATCCTAGCTCTGCTCCTGAGAAACTGTGGGCAGGTCACATGGTCTCACAGGGCCTCGCTCCCTTAACTCTAAAAGGGGCAGTTGAGGGGCCGGTGCTATGGCGAAGCAGGTGAAGCCCCAGCCTGCAGTGCCAGCAACCCATATGGGTGCCAGTTCAAGTCCCAGCTGCTCCACTCCCGATCCAGCTCTCTGCTATGGCCTGGGAGAGCAGAAGAAGATGGCCCGAGTCCTTGGGTCCCTGCACCCGTGTGGGAGACCAGGAAGAAGCTCCTGGCTCCTGGCTTCAGATGGGAAGCTCCAGACACTGCAGCCAATTGGGGAGTGAACCAGTGAATGGAAGACCCCCCCCCCACCACCACCTCTGACTCTCTGTAACTTTACCTTTCAAAAACTAAAAAATTAAAAAAAAAAAAAAAGGGGGGTGGGTGGGGTGGTTGCGAGGTCCTCCGGAGGTCACATCCGTGAAGCCTGCTGTGGGGCAGCCTCCTGACACACATCACCACTACCAGTGACCTCAGGCCACCGTGACAGCCACCCAAGCCCGAGCGCCCGCTGTCACTGTCACTGCCCTGGAAGAAGCAAGCAAGCCTGCCACGGCAGGGGGGCTGGGAGTGTCCCAGCAGGCCCCACTGCTTCTTCCCAGTTTTATGGGATGATGCAACTTGCCCAAGGTCACACAGCATTAGGCAGTGGGGTGGGGACTTGAACTTGGGCCCTCAAGCATCATGAGGCTTACCCTGCCACCTTTTTGCCTTAAAGTATACCAGTCAAAGGCTCCCCTGCCTTCATGTCTGCTTTCTTCCACACACTGGAGAGGGGACGAAGAACAACTGGCAAGGTCACCTTCTGGACCCTTCTTGGCCCACGCTTGTTAAAATTTTTTTTAAAGTATCAAGGTGCTACAGGAAATAATTCTATTGTCACTTGCTTTTTTTTTTTTTTAAAGTTACTGGATTCCCTCTGCATGCTAATAAATCTAAACATCTGTTATTACGTTACTTGGCTGCGGACCCCAGCACTGATGCCCTATAATGTATTACCACCATCCTCATGCTCACGTTGATGCACTGTGCACTAGCTCCAATTTTTTTTTTTTTTTTTTTCCAACAGAGCAGCCAGGAACATCCTTGCTCCTGGGTCTCTCTGTACCCATGCTGGAAATTTGCAGGGACAAATTCCCTCACAAGTGGAACTGCTGGGTCAACAAGATACACAATTACATCTTGGATAAATATTGTCCAACTGCTCTCCAACGCGTCCGGCCCCATCGATTTCCCCCCAAGGACGGCTCAGTTTCCTGGTGTGCCTGCGAGCACCTGGGCTCTCAGACCCAGCTGGCGTGGAGCAGTGTGGTGCACACAGCGCTGAGCGGCCTGTGGTCCAGCAGTGGGACCAGGCGAGCACACACAAGGCCTTACCTTCTGGAGGTCCGTGTGCAGCTGTTTTAGCATCACTTCCAGCTGGTACACCTTGCCTGTCAGGTCCAGGGGCGGCTCCTCGCTGCAAAGACAGGGGACAAGGTAGGCGCGAGGCCCGCAGCTGGCCAAGGCCTCTCCTATCCCTGAGTTGTTGCCAAGTCTTGTCCTCACTAGAGTCCTGAGGGTGCCCTGCAGAGAGGCTGAGTGAAAACTGGAAGCCAGCCCTCCTCCTGGCCACGCTCTGTGCGTGGGGAGTTAACAGGCCTGTGGAAGGCTGGGCGTAGGCCTGCCCTGAAGTGTGCATTCTGTGTGTGACTTTAGGGATAACTCTTCTCCATATACAGGATACAAAGAATCTGCTCCACAGACCTCCACCGATGACCTAGCAGGAAGCAGACCAGTGGGCCAGAGGGCTCGCCCCTGTGGACGGGACTAAAAGTCTGCCCATCACCGACAGCCGCCTGGCTGCATGCGTGGTCCGTCTGAGAGCTCTGCTCTCGTGCCGGCCTTTGAGGGCGTGCACTGCTCCCCGGCAGAGGAAGAACCCCGGCTCGGGCAGGGGGTGGCACCCATCCAAGTGCTGGTGATGGGATGTGAACCCAGGACCCACTGCCTGGGGTTCCTCTGGCCCCTGCAGGAAAGGATACACAGCCTTTCCTCCCTCCATGGTCCTGAGTCTTGGGGGCTGGCAGGTGCACAGGAAGCCGGGGCAGAGAGTCTGGAGCGTGCCTAGGGGCCGCTGGTGCCGCCACCCTCACCACGGCAGCACCACGTGACGCCACCTGGGCCTCGCAGTAACCGTGGGCCCACATCAAGGTGGAGGTTGAGCTCTAAAGCCAGCATGTGAGGCAAAAAACCAAGAGGAGTCAGAATGAGCCCTGAAAACTGCTTCACCTGCTCAGCAAACTCAGCTGCTGTACGCCGAGGCCGGCACCGTGAGCGAGCAGGCGAGTGTGAAATGCACTAGTTAAATCCACACACAGGCAGGGAGTGCCATGTACGTTCTTTCTGCCGAGTGAGTGCAGCTGAATGTGTCACACTAAATGTGCGAAGCCATGCAGGAGATGGCAGATGTGAGGCGTCTGGCTCCCTGTCCTCCTCCGCCCTCCCCCCACCCACCTTGAGGCCTTCTGAGGGGAGGGCTTGGCCTCAGGTGCCTGGCAGGGAGGAGGTGGAGGGGAAGCATTGGGTGGAAGACTGTGACATTCAGGAATCCCCAGGAGAGGAGACCAAGGCGCAGGCAGGCAAGAGACTGCGGGCAGAGGGGCGGGAGGCTGCAGACACGAGTTAGTGCATTTCAAAGTTGGAGATGGGAACTGTGAGAGCATTGACTGGAGTTCTGTTGCCACTGGACTGGGCGCTGTGACGATGGGTGAGGAGCTGGGCTTGGCCACTGCTGGTGCCCAGCGCACAGGTGGTGCAATGACACCCATCTGTCGGCTGAGGGAACAGGATGCGGGTAGCCCACAGCAGCTGCCTCCCACCTGGCTCCCTCCTCCACTCCACAGCCCTGCTCCCTGTGCCAAGCCCCCAGGCAAGCCTCACCTCATGGTAGGGGTGGTCCTGGGGGTCTGGGGCCCCCTCTCCAGGCTCAGGTGGCTGTGGACCGGACTGTGTGCAGGTGGGATGTCCGGGCTCAGGGCTGGGTCATTTAGAGAGAAGAGCGAGACAGCTCTTTGCACTGCAGGGGGGAGGGGGACAAAGAGAGAGAAGGGCTGAGTTCTCTGCGGGAGGGGCCGCTATCCTACATAATCACACCACCTGACGACATTCACGTTACGACATTTCACAGTAACACACTATTATCTAAAATACAGCCATCTTAAAATTTCATCCAGCACTCTTGAGTAATAGCCTATATATCTGTCCCCCCGCCCCCATCTTGGATTCAACGTTTATTCTCTGAAAATATTTTTAGAGGACAACTTCAAACACACCCCCAGCAGAGGTAATCCCATCACGGAGTCCTCAGGAACCCAGTGCTGGCCTCAAGCATTTTTAACGCACGGCACGGCCACTCTGGTTTCCTTCCCTGCACCTCCCTTTACTTCTTTTTCTCCCCAATCCCCCCAGTGCCTTACGTTTTAAGAACAGCTTCCCTGACACCACGCTCCAGTGCGTGTGCTTAGGGCGCACGGTCTGGGGGATTCGGACCTGAGCACACGTGCGCTGAGCACCAGGACCAGGACAGGAAGGCACGGACCACATGCTAAGGTCCCTTGTGTCCCCAGGGACTTGGCCCTGGTTCAGCTCATTTTCAGAAACTCATTTTAAGGTAATGTTAGATGTAGAGAGAGCTGTGAGAAGACTACAGCGAAGGTCCATATCCCCTTCACCCAGCTTCCCCTGACAGTAGCACCTTAGAGAACCACGGCACGATGATCCGAACCTAGGAAATGAATGTTGGTAACCGTGGACTTGACCCGGACTTCGCCGAGTTTCTCCACTTGCGTCCTCCTTCTGGGTAACCTCCATCCTGCGACAGTGCCCCAATCTCCCCCTGGGTTTCATGACTTCTGACACGCGCGGCCCAGGCATGGCAGAGCACTTCACAGTATGGCTTTGCCTGATGTTTTCATGGATTTGGGAGAGGAACAGCAGAGTGATGTGTTCTCCTCAGGGCACCATGTAGGGTCCATGATGGTCGAGGCCTCCCTGGATTATGGCGGTGTCTACGGGTTTTCTCATTGTATGGCTACAGCTGTCCCCTTTTAATGCTCAATTTGTTACAAGTGGGTCACCACACTTGGCCCACTCCGCATGACCGGGGAATGAAAGCTCCACCATTGGAGACACAGAGCGAAAGGGTGTGTGGGCCACTTGGAGGCTACGTAAACGCCTTGTTTCTACTTAAGTGTCCCCACTCATCTTAGCAATCAGCAGACAGAACTGCCTGCACAGTTATCACGGGGCTGTTCTAATGATCTTTTATTTCCCTCTCCTTCTCGATGAATTCATTGGAATCATTCTGTAGGGAAGAGTCACTGTGTTGTCGTTTGTCTACTCAGTTATTTACTTACAAGAATAAGAACGCACTGGCATTTACTTCATTGTGTTGTAATCTGATGCTATCATTATTCTGTTGCTCCAACTGTGCCAACTTTTATTTTTTTTATTTAATTTGAGAGGCAGAGGGACAGAGAGAGGCACACAGAGAGTTCCCATCTGCAGGTTCACTTCCTAAATGCCTACAGCCACTGGGAGTACAAAGCTGCAAGCCAGGACCCCGTCCAGGTCTCCTGTATGGGTGGCAGAGCCCAGTCATTGAGCCATTGCTTGCTTCCTCCTTGGGTGTGCATTAGCAGGAATCTGGAGTTGGAGTTGGAGCCAGGGGTCAAATCCAGGCACCCTGATTTGGGAGGCGGTGTCCTAACCAGCGTGCTACTTGCTAGGCTGTCTCCCCCGCCCCCCGAGCTGCTCCAGCCTGGGCCACGGGGGCTCCGTGGTTTGGCTTCTCGTGCTTCCTTCTGCACTCTCCCTTTCTGAGCCTTTCATTGCTTCGTGGTACCACACGTACCTGCCCTCCACATTATTTTTTATTTGAAATATTTTAAAGCAAATCCCACAGATCTTATTTCACCAGTAGAAGCTTCAGTTCTTCCAGCAGATAGGGCTTTTCCGAACAACTTTTTAAAAAGATTTGTTTATTTATTTGCAAGTCAGAGTTCCACAGAGAAGGAGAGGCAGAGAGAGAGAGAGAGGTCTTCCATCCGCTGGTTCACTCCCCAATTGGCTGCAACAGTCAGAGCTGGGCCAATCTGAAGCCAGGAGCCAGGAGCTTCTTCCGGGTCTCCCACGTGGGTGCAGGGGCCCAAGCACTTGGGCCATCTTCTGCTTTCCCAGGCCACAGCAGAGAGCTGGATCAGAAATGGAGCAGCTGGGACTCAAACCGACCCCCATATGGGATGCTGGCCCTGTAGACGGTGGATTTATATACTACACCACAGCACCGGTCCTCTGAACAAAATTTTTATGCTATGAACACATCCACCAAAGTTAATAAGAATTCCTCTAGTCTTCTCCATTTGTTTAAACAGCACATGAAAATCCATATATATCTTCATTTAGAAAACTAACCCTGGGAGCTGGCACTGTGGTGTAGTAGGTTAAGTCTCCACATGCGTGCTGGTATCCCACATAGGTGCTGGTTCCAGTCCTGGCTGCTCCACTTCTGACCCAGCCCCCTGCTGATGGCCTGGGAAAGCAGTGGAGGATGGCCCAGGTGCTTGGGCCCTGCACCCGCATGGCAGATGCGGAAGAAGCCTTTGGCTCCTGGCTTCGGATTGGCCCAGCTCTGGCCGTTGTGACCATTTAGGGAGTGAACCAGTGGATAGAAGACCTCGCTGTCTCTCCCTCTGTCTAACTCTGCCTCTCAAATAAATGAATCTTAAAAACAAAACAAAAAACTAACCCCGGGCAGGTGTCTGGCATGCAGGTTTAGCCATCAGTAGGCTGCCTGCATCCCGCGGCAGAGTCGCTTGGCTCCAGCTTCCTGCTGATGCAGACCCTGGGAGGCAGTGGCCATGGCTCCGGCAGTTCTGGTCCTGACACCCCATGGGAGACCTGCACTGACTTCTCAGCTTTGGCACCTTCTCCCTCGCCACCTGACTCGGGCATTTGGATGGGACAGTGGATGAACAGTGGATGGGAGTTTTCCCTCTCAAAAAATAAACAGTAAATGAAAACAACCTAAACCCCACACCCTACAAGAAGCTGAGACCACTCCGACTGCCATTCTGCTTCCAGGGAGGCTTCAGTGGGGCTGCTGTGCGCCCTTCCACAGTGAAGCATCGGTGACGTCAGCCAGGCTTCCCAGCCTTTCACATACTGTCTACGATTCTGGGCACCTCTGGGGGCCAGGCCAGTCCCTCCCAGCGGCCCACAGCTCCGGGGTTGGTGTCTGGGCAGCTGTGCCTTCCTCAGACAATACCGTGGCTACTTCCGGCACCTGGGTCTCTAGGGAGAGGCCTGGGACTTCCCACCTGCCCAGAATCAGTCATCCTGAACCCAGGAGAGAGAGAGAGAGAGAGGGGCCGGCTGCCTTGCACCCCTCCCCCAGCCCTCCTGGTAAACTCCCTCCTGTGCCCCCATCACATAAAGAGCCTGCGCTTAGGGCAAACCCTGGCCCCTGCTCTGGGGAAGCCAGGGAGTGAGGGCCCTGCAGGACTTTGAGGGGACAGGAAGAGGCCAGTGGTTAAAGGCCTTGGACCCCCAATCTGAGGTCAAAACCCCAGCTGCCCTCGGGGAACACAGGCACTGTGCTGAGCCCAAGGAGGTCTCTTGACTGCCCACACACGCCTGCAGGGTGGGAACAGTTCCAGATGAGGAGGTTAAATCCTGTCACACAGCTCCCCCGGGGCGAGGCAGCACGCTCTGGCTTCCTCGTTGACTACCTGAGAGCCTGCCTAGCCCTCACCTGACCAGTCCTGCGCGAGCCTCCATTCCTTCTCTGGCCTCCTGAAATCATGGACCCAAACAATGCCCAGCCTGACACCACCCACGCCTTGTAGGCGATGAACCAACACACACACACTTGGCCCCATGTTTACCCAAACTTTCGCTCCCTTCCCATTGTGGCCCTCCGGCCAGCCATCAGCCTGAAGAGAGCTCTGTCCAGGTTCAGCGAGGCCCTGTGACCCTGGGTAACGAGGTCGGGCTCACAGGCAGGGCCAGCCCCACGCAGTGGGTTTCGCAGAGCTGCCCTCCACGGAGGGGCTCGCGCCCAGCTGGGGCCGCACCTGCCCCGTGCAGCGTGACCAGACTTCATCTCGTGCGGTCCTGGGGCGTGGAGAGCTGTACCCCGGTGAGCTTCCACGTCCACTTATCTCGCCCTGAGAGAAGCTGAGCAGCGTTTTCCAATGTGCGAGAGCCACCTGCGTCTCCTTTTCTAGAAACTGTTTTCTGTGTGTATTTTTCTGGAGGGGAGCTCAGGTCTGGTTTGAATCCTGGCCTCACGTGCCAGGCAACACAGGCCAGGTGACTCTGGCAGCCAAGCCTCAGCGTTCTCGTCTGTAAAACAGCAGTCCTAACACACCTCCCAGACCAGGGCTGCGAAGAGACGGTGTCTGCAGAGCGACACAGTGCTGGCTCCAAGCAGAACCTCACGTGTCTAAGTCACCTCCTCCAGGAAGCGCCCCTGAACAACCGACCCCTCCTCTGAGCTCTCGGGCTTCTGCAGGTTCAAGCTCATCTGTGCTGTGGTCACTGCTTGGCCATCGTTCCCCAGGGGCTGCCAGGGATTCGACCTGCCTACAACCTTGTGTGTTGAAGTCACTGGTAATTTGGGTTTTTGCCATGTGCAGCCAAACCAAACCCCCAAATCCAATCCAAGGTTCGCTCTGCCGGCAGGTGTCACACACGGGGTCGCAGAGGCCTCACTGCAGCCTGGCAGTTGCTGTTTGGTCGATCAGGTAACTGGGGATCAGACAGATGGAAACACGTGCCCAGGGCTGCAGAGCGAACCAGGGACAGGGCAGGATTTGCACCCTGTTCCAGGACCCCCCAAAAAGCCACACGGTCCTCTTGACCCTCCTGAAACAGAAAAGGGGTGTGGTCCCGGCAGCGCTGGTCAAAGGTGCCTACCTTCATAAGCCTTGGCCGCGTTGACAAGGCTGGACCACTCGAGACCAGCAGCCGTGTCGGGCAGTGGCATCATCCCGGGGTCGAGGCGCCGCAGGGGACGGTCCCGCCCGTCAGCCAGCGACAGTTCTGAGGCCGAGATGGTGGCTGGGTGGGCAGAGTGGAGATGGAGAAACAACTGAGCATCACAATGTGGCAGTGACCAACAAGCAAATCCATCCTCTTGCTGCCTAGAAGACTGTGTACCTGGGAAGCCTCCGGCCAGGGAACGGAACCGCGGGGTGCAGGCCGCTGTGGGCCCAACTTTATTTTTTCAAATGCTATCAACTTATGCTTTACTGCCCATTTCTTTTCTTTTTTCCCTCTCTTGCCCCTTCCCTCCTCGTCTGTTTTTATCTACTTGAGGGGTAGAGAGACAGAGAGCGAGGGAGACAGAGACCTCCCTTTCGCGGTTCCCAAACGCCTGCAATGGCCACAGGACTGGGCCAGGCTGACGCTGGACATTCAGTTCAGGTCTCTCACAGGGGAAGTGGGATCTAACTACCCGAGCCATCACTGGTACCTTCCAGGGTGCACAGTGACAGGAAATGGGAGCTGGGGCCAGTTTTTTTTTTTTTTTTTTTAAGATTTATTTATTTGGAAGAGTTATTATAGAGAGAAAGAGAGGCAGAGGGAAAGAGATCTTCCATCTGCAGGCTCACTCCCCAGATGGCTGCAATGGCCAGCACTGGGCCAGGCCAAAGCCAGGACCCAGGAACTTCGTTCAGGTCTCCCACAAGGGTGCAGGGTCGCAAGCACTTGGGCCATCTGCTGCTGCGTTTCCCAGGCCACAGCAGGAGCTGGACTGGAAATAGAGCAGTGAGGACTCAAACTTGCACCTGCACGGGATGGCAGCGATGCAGGCGGTGGCTTTACCTGCTGTTTTGAATCTGGGCTCTGTGAAGTACGAAACAGGCATCTTAAATGCTCATCTCAAACCACTCTGCTCTAACTCGGAACAAGGTGTTGGGGCGGGGCTTGCTGAGAAGTGACATTTGAACAAAGCTCTAAGGGAGGGAAAGGGGGATCAAGGGAGTGACCAGGGTGAAGAACATTCTATGCAGATGAACATTCTAGACAAAAGCCCTGAGGCAGCAAAGTGCCTATACGTTAAAGGACCCTGGAGGCTGGCGTGGCTGGGACAGAGTGAGCAGGAAAGAGCGGCGAGGGCAGGCTGTGTGGATGGCCCCACCGGAAGATTCCCGACTCAGTGTCCACAGGCTCCCCCTGCTCTGTGGGGGTGGGGGAGGGAAGAGCAGAGATGGCGATAACCCAGAGGGGAGACGAGGGTGGACAGGACTGGGGCAGTGGGCAAGTGGGCACCGTGGGTCTGTTCTGCAGAGGAGCCAACAGTATTTCCTGAGGAGTGGATGGAGGTGTGAGACCAGGAGGCAGGTCCAGGAGGATGTCTAGGTGCTGGGTGCTGCGTTGGGTCCAGCCGGATGCAGGCTGCGAGATGGGGGCCCAGGGTTTGTTTCTGGAGGTGTTAAGCAGAGGTGCCACTGGACACCCATAGGGACAGCGGGAAGGGGGCTGGCCACAGGAGGCTGCAGTTGAGGGGAGGGTTCCAGGTCGCAGAACAGTGTGCACACGGTGTGCTTGGCTGTGGCAGGTCCCTGTGGGGGCTCAGCTGGGACAGGCAGGGCAGAGGCCCCGGTGGTGTCAGGTGCTGGGAGAGGCAGCTCAGACTCAGGTCCCTGGGGCCCCAGCTCACTGGCTCCTCACAGCCCCTAGCAGCAGACGGGCACAGCAGAGAGGTCAGGAGACGGGCCTGTTGGGCCTCGGTAAGGAACTGGCGGAGCCTGACAGGGAAGCGAGCCTGGTCCCTGGCCCCTGAGCACTTCCTGTGCAGGGTGTGCTACGGGGACCACCTCACAGCCCCCCCATTAACAGGAGGAGGGAGTCGGTATGATCCCTGAGTGTGGCAGAGGAGCATCGGGGCTCAGAGCGAGACGCTGAAGTGTCTGGGTTCGCACCTGCGGCAGGAGCTCCGGGATTTAAAGCAGGAGGCTGGTGCTGGCCCTGCTCTCAGCCTAGCCCCACACGGTTCTAGGGTGTGCTCTCTTGGGCTCAGGTACAGACGTGACTTGGGGTGGATTAAAATGCTTGCTCTCGAGAACAGAACTGTAACAACAAATCCAATAAAGAGTGCGTAGAGGCTTCCAGGGTTTGCTACGCACTCGGCATTGTGTGAGGGTTTTCGTCTGCACACTCATTTGGTTCTATTAACCTGTGAGGCCGCACTGTCTCTGGCTACATTTTACAGTCAAAGAGACTGAGGCACAGAGAGCAGGGGACCGGCGACACGAGCTCAGGCCAGGTAGTGCAGATGCGTGGCGTGCAGTGAGCACTCGCCCACCGGGCCCCGACCACCACGCTCTGCACTGCCAGTGGCCGAGTGGGCACGGGCGACAGGCTCCTGGATCTGCAGGGCCCTTCGCTAAGGAAGCTGGGATGCAGCTTGGAGTGCTGGGGAGGCCCAGGACTCTGCCAGGCTGAAGTCAGATGGGTCTGTCGGGTTCTGACGGAGGGGGTCAGATGGGCAAGACACAGGGTCCTGTCCTCAGGGAGCCCTTCAGCCAGAGCGAGCGACAGATCTCACTCTGCAAACAGATCAATGGTCCACAGTGAATGGGGCTGTGGCAGGAAACACATGGCAGAGCGATGGGGGCTGGATGGGATGGAGCGGGGAAAAGCTGTGGGGGCCTACAAGAGGAGCCTGACCCAGGCTGGGTGGGGAGGGAGGGCTTCCTGGAGGAGGGGGTGTCTGAGCTGAGACTGAAAGGGTGAGGCAGAGTGAGTCACATCTGTCAGTGGAGCCCGTGTGCGCCCTGTGTGCCCACTGCCTGCCCTCCTCAGCTTCCCCCCACCGCGAGCTGAAGCCCTACTGTGTGCCAGGCCCTGCCTCCGGCACAGACAGAGCAGCAGACACGGAGTGAGGCTTAGGGACGTGTCAGCCCCACGAGCTGGATGTGCTCCGGCTTGCTTGCGGCTGTATTCTCAGTGCCTAGGGCCGAGCCTGGCTGCAGCGTGCGCCCCAGAAACGCGTGGGAGGCAGTGCGCAGTGGGGCGCCACGGTACTCTGGGCTGTGACAGGGCTCGCAGCACTCTCAGGAAAGAGCAGTAGCAGACAAGGCCCGAGACAAGCCAGAGCTACCCAGAAGAGGGCTGGGGGAAGAGCATGGCAGGCAGAGGGAACAGCCACGTGGGATGCTCTGAGGAGGGCAAAAGCTGCTGTGCTGGGTGATCTAACAGCAGGCTCCCTGAGGTGCGGGAGGAGGCGGGGCCTGCACCCACCTGGGTGGTAGGGAACCATGGAGGAATCTTGAGGAGGAGACGGATTCCCACAAGAGCCCCAGCATCTCCCATCCCACCCGCTGAGGCATACAAGGCTTCCTGGAGATGATCAGCCCCTCGGTGGAGACCCCAGGGGTAGGCTGTGCCTCCGGATTCAAGATTCGGGTGGGCCTGGGAGACGTAAGGTGGCGGACGCTGTTCTCATGTCCTGCACTCGCACATGTCCGGCAGAGCCCCTCGCTCAGCACACGGGGAAGCCAGCGGTCTGCAGCAGGCGGCATCGCTCACCCCAGGTGGGTAAGTAAGAACCGCAAATGGCTTCGTGGCCCTTTACGCTGGGCACAAACTTCGGCATGGCCTGTCACTCCATGGTGTGCATAAGGGACTCGAGTGAACTGGGGACACAGCCAACCCCAGCTGGCTCACGGCCTTTGGATGGGGGGGGTGTGCACAGTGGGGACACTGAGGAAATGCTTGCTGAGTTAAACCTGGTAAGCTACACTCCTGCCCCGCCTTCCCCTGCCAAGTGTGGCAAATGCGGGTGGAAGGAGTCAGGTAAGCACACAAAGATTCATGAAGTGTGGCTGGCGCTGTGGCATAGCGGGTAAAGCTGTTGCTGGCAATGCCAGCATCCCATGGGGCACTGGTTCGAGTCCCGGCTGCTCCACTTCCGATCCAGCTCTCTGCTATAGCTTGGGAAAGCAGCAGAAGATGGGCCAAGTCCTTGGGCCCCTGCACCCGTGTGGGAGACCGGGAAGAAGCTCCTGGCTCCTGGCTTAGGATTGGCCCAGCTCAGGCTGTTGTGGCCATGTGGGGAGTGAACCATTGGATAGAAGACCTCTCTCTGCCTCTCTGTAACTCTGCCTTTCAAATAAATAAATAAATCTTAAAAAAAAAAAAAAAAAAAAAGAGACTCAAGACGTACACTGACTGGGACCGGAACAGGGAGGCTGGGGTAGGGCAGCAGCAAGCACCGACCCTCAGCACCTGCATTTGGGAAAGGCCGACTTCTACTCTGGCCTCTGACGACCCCAGTCTTCAGGTGCTGCTGACTCCCAGGTAACCCCTCCGGAGGACCCCCCCCCCCCAGTGCTTGGCCAACAGTCCCCTGCTTCTTGGGTGACAACCATAAGGCCCCCATAGAGCTCATGTGCACCCCCAGTTTCTTCTCTCAGATGACCCAACACGGGTGACCTCCTGTCTTTGACCTCCAGGCAATCCTCCCGCTTGGGTGTCCCCTACTTCTCCTCCCCAGGCTAACTCCTAGCCCAGGGGGGCCCAGCTCACATTTCTTCTCCGGGAAGCCGTTGCCCGCAGCAGGGATGGCGCTGGGGCCGCCACCGCCGGGCGGGAGGGGGTGCTGGTGCTGGCGGCGGGCGGGCAGCGTGCTGGCGGGGAAGGCGCAGGCGCTGGTGAAGAGCACGTCGCTGGGCAGCCCTGGCTCCAGGCTGGCAGCGTTGGCGAAGCTGGGCTCCCGGCGCCCGCTGCACAGGCTCTCGTCCGACAGTGTCCTCTGCAGGCTCTTCTGTGGCGACTGCTGCCGAGAGAGGGGAACGATGTGGGGCACGGTCAGCCTGGCTCACGGGTCCCGGAGGCCTGTGCTAGGTCCGCTTCCACTCCTTCTCATCAAGGTGCCCCGTTTTCCTGTAGGGATTCCTCTTCCCTACCTCGCCAGCCTCAGGTACTGGTGGGCCGCCCCCACCCCGTGGCTCTAGAGAAGGGTTCACTCCCCCCCAGGGCTGTGGGCTGGCGGGACCTAAGCCAGGAACAACTCGGTCCATCTCCCTGAGGGAGTGCATGGGCCCACCAGGCCAACGAGGGCCAGGCAGGGACAGGAGGTGCAAGTCGGCTCCAGGGCCGTGCCCATCCTCGATTTCCCCGGGGACCCTCCTGCCCCTTTGATTCGGAGGGATGGGGGTGTTCCCACCCCAGGGCTCTCCAGCTGCAGGAAGTCCTTTATTGCTGAATCAATCCCCCTTGGGGCCGCCTGGGTCAGGGACTAGGGTGACTGTCCCTCACAGGATGCCCTCACTTCTGGCCACCAATCCAGACACCCAATCAGAGCTGGCGGTGGCCACAGGCAGAGAGGGCCGCCCTGCACGTACCCCTGCGTCTCTCTCCTGCTCTGGGCCCAGGTTGTCCATGATGATGAGCTTCTTCAGGTCGTCCTCGATGGTGGATTTGTAGTTCTTCCGTGGGGACCGCAGGTCTCGGAGGGATGCCCTCAAGCGTGGCTGCCCGAAGACGTTCTTGGTGTTCGCGTCCACCTGCCTGGAATGACAGTGTTGGGGTCAGAGGGGTCTCGGGGGGCTTGAGCCGCTCTCCGAAGCTGTGTAGGTTTCAGAAGGCTGGCTGCCCCCGGGCGAGCCTGCAGCCTTCGTGACTGCACCTGCTGGGAGTGACGGAGCGCTGCCTGGCGTACGCTTTCCCCGCACTGTTTCCTTAGAACCCACTCAGAACCTATTCTGAGCTGTGCCTGTGCCAGGCGCTGGGGACGCGACAGCAAGGAGGGGAGACCAACGTTGAATGAATGAAGAGAGACGGAGAGACATCCTCTTATGAGCAAAAAGCCATGTTTTGAGGGAAAATACAGCTCAAAAGGGATGGGGATTGATGGGACTGGGGCCGGCGCTTTGGAGGGAGTGGCACCTGGGCAGACACCTGGAGGGAACAGGAAGGAACCCACATGGCAGAAGAACTCAGGTGGAGGCCACGGGGGGTTCAGGAGTGACAGGAGTTGGGGCGAGGGGCTGAGCAGTGGGAGGCGAGGTCCAGGAAGGGACAGGGACAGCCAGTGGCCACTGATGAGCTGCAGGTGGCACTCGGGACTGCCTCTGGGGAGCCTCTGCCGGCTCAGGGCTGGCGTATTAGTTCCTCATTGGCCTCTGGAGAGATTCAGGCTGGGTGCGGGGCAGAATACTGGCTGGTGGGTGGGAGAGTGGGTCTGTGACAAGAGTGGGAACAGAGAGATGGCAAAGAAGTTCCTGTGGTTGTTCAGGCAAGAGACAAGGGTGGCCCAGACCATGGGGCTTCCAGCCACAGAAAAGTGGGATGGGCCCCTATGGATAGCGCTGGGTGCCAAGCCCAGTTGCTGGGTCTCCCTCACTGGTCACATGGGGTACCAGAGCTTACACGTCATGGGGTGGGGGGACCCAGACACGAGACACGTGACCCTTCAGCAGGGAGGGGCAGGAGCCTCCTGACTGCTGCCACCCCCACTCCTCAGCTGGGCCTCCTGGCCCAGAAGTTCCAATCCCCATCCCCTCTTCAGCATTCACAAACCTACCCCATGTTGCCTTCTAGAAAACGCAAGTGTCCAACGGCCACTGCAGAACAGCCTGGATTAAAAACAGAAACCCTGGGCCTGGGCCCTGCTTCTGCTCGCTCCTGCTCTGGGCCCAGTACCCAGGGAACGTACTCAGCACGCAGCGTTGTTGCGGGCTTTGTTTCCAAGTGCGTGGCCAGCACCTGACATGGAACAGCCCAGCACCCTGAACTGTACACAGCCCTGCCTCCCAGCTGCTCAGTGCTGGCTGGCTCCATGCCCTCCCCTCAGTGCCCCCATCCAGCCTTTGGGTCAAACCTCACTTCCCAGGTGACAGCTGGGCCCTGACCGCAGGCATGGCTCCCAGTTCCAGGAGGGAAGTAATCGCAGCTAACAGCACAGCCCTCACTGCGCCCCAGGCACCGTCACAAGGGCTCATCACACAAGGAGTCACCACTTTCATTATGATGCCCATCTTGCAGATAGGAAACTGAGGCACACGGAGGTTAAAGCAACAACGGCCCTGCTTTGAAGCCGGGCGTTCACTCATTCCTCTACCCTCACGTTTTCCTGTCAGCAGCTCCTGCAGCCTGCAATCGTCTGTCTTTTCCTGTCTGTCTGCCCGGAACTGTAAACCACACCAGTGCAAGGTCTGGGTCTCCCTCAACACACACATGAACTCACGGATCTCACCATGGCTGCGTGCCTTGAGCACGGCTCGTATCCCATGTCATGGATGGAAGCAGTGAAAGTACAGTGGCGTTAGGCCACCTGTCTCAGGTCACACGGCCCTGGGATGGAGGAGCCAGGAGTCACAGCAAGGCCTCGGGCTACAGAGCCTGGGCGCACTGCTGAGCTTGCCAGGGGATGGCGGGAAGAGCGGGCGGCGTATGGAGCCCCGCTGCCCTGGATGGAGACGTGCGCTTCTGCAGAAGAGAACCTCCAGATGACGAGCCGTGACTGCCTTTGGGAGGTAAGAGCCTCATTAGGAGGTGCAAGATGGGACTCTTAACTTTTCATCTGCTCATTCTTCTCAACCGTCTGAATTGATTTCACCACTGTCCTGTGTGGTAATAATAACAACCACCAAACCGAGCTTTAGAAAAGCCGACACCCAGACTTCATCATTCCGGAGCTCAGGAGCGAGAAACAGCCTTTGAGCCCGAGAAGAACTAAGACGTCTTGGGCTCCTGCGGGTTTTGAAGTCTGCGCTTTCTTTCTCTCCTTCTCAGCTGCCTGCCTTGGGATTTCAACAAAGGACAGAAGAGAGGGTGGCAGGCTTTTCTTGTCAGGTCATATTCCTCCCCAAATTAGAATTCCAGGTCTAGCGGAAGTCGGCTCCACTGATACCAGGGAACTGTGTTCTCTGGGCAAATTAAAAGCTTTAGATGTCAAAGGGAGAAATGGAAAGACGACACACAGACTGCAAAGGGTAACGGTACCTCCAGCTGCAAGGACTCCCCCTCCCCCTCCCATTTTGATCATTTCCCAGAATCCCCTGCAAGCAGGCTTGGCCTTCAGCACACAGAGAGGGGCATTGTCCTCAGGCGTTCCCCCTGATCAGGCTGTAAAACGACCTGTGGAAAACTTTCAAGCGGTCACTCTCTGGCCCAGCAGTTCTCCTTTAGAAAGGGCAGCGTGAACCCACAGTGCCGTGTGTCCAGGGTACTTCCTGGGGTCTTGTGTGTGCAGCAGGCATGAGCTGGGGGCGGGGTGGGGAGGCAACACAAGGGATCCAGGGTGGTGGGGCACACCCACACAGCCCCAGAGAACTCCTTACAGACGTGGCGTGTGAGCAAAGCAGGGTTTAGGGGTCGTGGGAAACTGTTTTTAGGAAACAAAACTGACATACAGCTTGGGTTGGCTTATTGGACTTTACCAAACTCTCGTTTCTCCGGTGGATATGTGGGAAATTCAGTTACTAAAAACTTAACCTTTCTGCAGCTCATGAAATCTGACACAGTCTGTCCTGTCCCCTCTCTGCCCTCATCTCCCATGCAGGCGCCTCATCGCTCCTCATAAAGATTCATTTGAGGGACTGGCGTTGAGGTGTAGTGAGTTAAGATGCTGCCTACAACACTGGCATCCCATATGGGCACTGGCTGAAGTCCCAGCTGCTCCACTTCTGATCCAGCTCCCTGCTAAAGCACCTGAGAAAGCAGCAAAAGATGGCCAAGTGCTTGGGCCCCTGTACCCACGTGGCAGACCTGGAAGAAGCTCCTGGCTTCTGGCTTGGGATCAACTCAGCTCTGGCCGTTGAGCCCATTTAGGGAGTGAGTTAGCGGATGGAAGACCTTTCTCTCTTTGTCCGTCTCTACCTCTCTGTAACTCTTTCAAATAAATAAAATAAATATTTTAAAAAAATGAAGGAAACATCTTTAACATTCTGACCAACACTAGACATAATCTCTGATTTGTCCATGTTGTCTAAGTTTGGGTTTTGCCATAACATGGAGTTAAATAACTTACTTTAAGATGAAAGAGAAAAATTACAAAGAAGTCTCTGCAGTTAGAGCCCAGAGAACAGCAGTATTTTTTAAAAAATGAAAAACAGCAACCTCTTGGTGAACAGATCTCTACTATAATCTTCCCTGAAATTTTCCTATCCAGTACCTATCGGAGCACCTGATACAAAAACATGTCCAGGGGCCATCACTGTGGTGCAGCTAGCAGCGGCTCCTGATGCTGGCATCCCATATTGGAGAACTGGTTCAAATCCTAGATGCTGTATTTCCAGTTAGCTCCCTGCTAATGCACCTGGGAAGGCAGTGGAAATGACCCATGTACTTGGGTCCCTGCCACCCACGTGGGAGGTCCAGATGGAGTTCCTGGCTCCAGTCTGGCCCAGACCTGGTTCTTATAGCCATGTGGGCAATGAACCAGCATTTGAAACATCTTTCTCTTCCTCCCTTCAAATAAGTAAATTAATAAACTTTTAAAGATTTTAAAGAATTTTATTTATTAGACATCATAAGGAGCAGAGAAAGTAAGTTTCCATCTGCTGATTCACTCCCCAAATGCCCGTAACAGTAGGAGCTGGGTCAGGCTGAAGCTGGGAGCCTAGAACTCAACCCGAGTCTCCCGCAGGTGGCGGGGACCCAAGCACTTGAGCCATCACCTGCTGTCTCCCAGGGTGTGCTTAGCAGGAAGCTGGGAACAGAAGTGGAATGGGATTCGAACTTAGCTATTCCAATACAGATGTAGGCTTCCCAAGCTAGGGCGTCAACTGCTGTGCCATGTGCGTGCTCCGCAGTGACGTCTTTCTCCTGTGACAGAAGGCCCAGAGTGGAAGGTAACCAGCAGGTCGCACTTGGCTGGCTCTGATCCCAGCTAACTTGGAATTCTGGCCTCTTGCTGGGGTGGATCCCTTGGGCCTGGGCTAATTAAACTAATTAGCATCGTCATAACCCTGACTGAGCCGGGGGTTCTGCCTACGTGGCTGGCAAGATGCTTGCCAGAGCTGCACCCTGGGTGGCAGGTCGATTTTCCTGGAAGGACGGCAGGGAGAAACCAGCGGTGACCCGGGAATCCCTAACCGAGGAAGGAGGGAGCCCGAATGCCAGGGTCAGTCACTTGCTGCCAGAGGCCCTCGGCCCACTGAGCCCTCACACCACCTCTGCGACGCAGGCACCCCCACCTTTTCCACCCTGTGGCCGGGGAAACGGGGTACACTCAGAACACACATCTGCCTGAAGGTCTGAGCTACCCCATCAGTCAGGGTGAAGCCAGCAGCGCTCAGGGTGCAGCTCTGAGCTGGGCACTCACCCGGGGCCAGCGCATTAGCCCTCGTGGTGAGCGGGAGAGGCAGGCTATACCACCACCCTTCCCTTCCAGGCCAGGGCACCGATACTCCACAGAGCTCCCGACACCTCCGGATGGGCAGCCAGGATGTGGCCCACAGCAGCAGCCACAAAGCCCTCACCTCCGGAGCGCTCCCTCTCTCCGCCGGGGCTGCCCTTCCCTTGTGCTATTTCGTCTCGTCTCCTCCCTGGCCTGTGTGAGCAGG